GTGCGCAGCGGTGGAATGGGCCAATGGGAGCGAGTGGGAACAGAACCTGGAATGCGCACCGAGACCAACTCTGACCCCTCGCATTAAACTACAACAGGTAACTTTGCCAGCTTTAGCACGTCCAGTAAATACACTTTATTGTCACTTGTAAAATGTAAACGTGTTCACGCATGAGGCCGTTTTAAAAACGTGTTGGAACCGAGCTGATTTGTATTCTGTTGGTAAAGGAACTTATATTTTTTGGCGTAGTTTGAATGGTGTACATGCACGTCACGGTTTGTGAGTAATGTGTGCGCAAATTCACCTATTTGCTTAAATTTGTTTATTTATTTAAATATTCAACCAAGGTAGTTTATTGACAGCAAAGGAACAAAATATGTGTCTGGGTCACAAAAAATAAGGCATTCCCCAAAATAAATAAAGAAATAAAGAAAGAAAAAGAAAGGGGGGCCGCATGCTTGTTATGTCCACGTGGTCATTTGAATAAAATACCATTTGCAAGTGCATGAAGTAACATGCAGCTAAGTGTGCATGTGAGTGCATCACCAGGAAGCACGGAGGGAGGAGGGGAATGCAGTGGGTGTGGTGGTGGTGAAATGGGGGAGCAGCTCTGACAAAAGACGCCGCACACAAGCCGAGATCAAGGCTACAGGCAACCCTCTCGCCACACCTACCAACCTTGGCCCTGGGACGGTGACGTGAGTCATTTGTAAGTTTCTCCAACGCCCAACGTCACGACAGAGACCACTGCAGGGTCCCTCACGAATACTGTTCATCAACCACACGGGGGCCATGTCTCCCGGCCTCTCTGCTGCTTGGTTTCTTCTACAAGGAGCTTGAAAAGGCGTCACAGCAGAGTAGTATTACTTGTAGTACTGGTACGAATAGTACCAATACTTATATGAGTACATGTCCTCCTTCTGCGGTGATGTTCAGAAAGTACAGGCTGTTCTCTGGAATGCCGCAGGTCTCAGTCCGTTTCCTGCACCAATACTGAGAAGTAAAATGGTGTCTTGTTATGGCTTGTTAAAGGCGGGGAGATAAGGGCAGAAACACAAACAGATCTTTATTTATTTGCTTTGAAAAGGAGGTAAACAGAAATTAAAATGTTGAGGAGTGGAGTTAGACTTTGCAGGATGAGGCTGAGTGCAGATGGAGGAGCTTCCTTGTTCAGTGCATGGAGGAAAGGGCATCACTTTAAAAAGTTCTCATAAAATGAACTGAGAGGCCAATAAAAAGATAAAATAAATAAAATGAAATAAATTTAGTTGTGACGCCATGTTGTTAAAAAGCAACAGATTACAAAAAAAATCATGTTTGTGTTGGCTATATTTAAAATAAATAAAGCAAACACAGTATAGGCTAAAATATTATTTATTTATTTATATTCAGAATTTAAAGGAAATGCACGTTTTTAATCGCTTAACTTTTTCTTACATGAACAAACAAAAACTCGCGTGTTGACCGCGTGTTTTGAGTTTCCGTTTTGGAAGTGAGGAGTGTTCCAGTGTCTTATTCCCCCGCAGATACTAATCAAAGGGTTATAGGCTATTCAATGGTTTTACACTACAGTGTCTCAGCACCTAACCTGTTCTATTGGGCTATAAAACGCAGCTCCTCGCTGTAAAACGAGCTCCAGCTCTTTCTGGGGGAACCATGCGGCTCTCACGTGCATTTCCTTTATTGTCGTCACCCAAATAAGGCTTATTAAAATGGAGAGACGGTTTTTAAGTATGACTTGGTGTGTATGTGTGTGTGTGTCATATTTGGTACTAATAATGTACCACTGCTGGGCTTTGATGGCGGGTTTTAATTAAGCACTTACATGATTCTGGCGCCATAAATTTGCAGTTGCGCACGGAGTGGACAGCAGCATGAAAGAGCAAACAAAGCCCAGCCTTCCCCACTTCCAACTGGAAAGATAATTTAAGTGTCTGCTATAGGAGCCAGATTCATTGTGTCGCCCCAGTAGCTGCTGCATGTTAGGCCTATACATGGCACATCATCCAGCAGCCACACGTACCTGTTTGCAAAATGATAACAGCCTGCAGGTTTGCAGCGTGATTCAGTGGTCGGTGCTGATTGGAGATTTGGACAAGTGTTAAAAAAGACCATGGTAGCATGCAGGCAGCTCTATGAGTTTGTGTGAGGGATTCTTAAAGGCTTACAGGAGCACGTGCGCTCGTGCAATTAACTTCCAAAATCCTCGTTTCGTTTTAAGCATTTTTCCTGATAGACAAAATGTCAAAATCAGTGATGTGCTTCTGAAGGGAGGAAAAATTCCTGAAAAGAAAGAATGAAAAAAAAAATCATATAAAAAAAAATATATGGCGCATTTCCACGAGAGAAAAGTGACCTGGATAAGCCATCGGCAGTTAGCACGGATAGGCACGTCTCATAGCTCAAATGTGCAACAAATAACACATGTATTTTTTCCCCACGCTGTTTATCCTCATGTGTGCAACTAATTACTTCTCTTGCACAGGAATTGTGCTCCTTCTTGAAAACTAAAATCTTTGCGCAATTATGATAGAAATGAATGATAACCTGGCGCACATAGCGCACATTTAGTGCACATTCTGCAGCATTTTATGTTCCAAACTGTTGCTGCTGACACTGTGACATTCTATTCTCCAAACTTTCTCGAGCTCCCATTATCGTTGCCTCTTTATTAAAAATCACAAGCCCAAAATTTAAACTGGGGTGAGTTAATAAAAAAAAAAAGCTTTGTTTCATTTGCAGATTCTTTTGTCACAGTTTGCGCAGTGTGCGCAAAGTTTCCTTAAGGCTAAATTATTTAAGCAGCTTCACTAATGCATGCATGCATTAAAAAAAACAAGCAAAAATAACAAATATTTGCATTCATTGTCCTTTCAGGCAACACTTACTAACATGAGAATCTTCTTAAAGGAGTTTGACGCATCTCTAACTTACTTTCGAGTAATGGTGAGAACCCGACATGTTTATCCTACAACAATGACCAGTCGCATTTCCCTCATAATTATGGGGGTGGATGGAATGTGGCCACACAGACACCACTCACTTGTGTCGATTTATTCCTCTCACTCTCAATGTTGCACAAACTAAAATTCAGCAGCAGCATAAACAAGAACGGTTCAGAAACTGACGACATCAGAGGAGTGCATGTTGCCCTTGCCTTTGAAAATGATTCTGAACTGCAGTCACACACACCCACACACACGCACACACACACTGAGGGACGAGCTGCAGGCTCGACACGCACAAATCACAGGAGAAAACACACAAAGCAGCGATGATCCAGCAGAGATTTAAAACATGGCCAAACGCAGGCCATCATAGTCTGTGATGGCGCTCCTGACAAGTTTGTTTTTATTTTACAGCTTGCAGTTTTGTGTTGGAAACACCTCAGTTATTTACTCGACTGTTTGCAACACGCGCTTCAACAGAACGAGGAGGAAAAGTTGTGGCCGACCTGACCCAGATGTTTCTGCTTTAAACCCTGAATAATAATAATAATAAAATATAAAATCTGCTTTAAACAGATTCAGATTTATAGGGAAATAAACCAATAATGTTAAGATTTTTTTTTTTTTTTTTTTTTACTGAATGTGAACTAAATATAGCATCTGTCTCATATCACAGGATCCGTTCAGCAGCAAAGTAAAGGGAGTGTTTGTTTCCCTTCACTTCACTGCGGCTCCATTTCCACTGAAAGAATGTCCTGAAGCAGCAAAAGCCCTTCATCTGTCACGAAACCCCCAAAGATCTGGACTTTTCTTTTTTACAGTAACTGAACACAACACAATCATTTCCATTGCATGACCCGATCATACTGGCACTAAGTTGCTTTCTGTTTCAAAGATTCCAACTATTGTAACAATTTGTATTTATAATAATAAAAAGATACATTTGCGTGTTTTTCATTTTGGACAGCACCAGATTTTATTATTTTTTTAATTGTATAATAAACTGATTTCAGCAACTTAAAAATATTATCTGCAGAGCATTCAACACTGTATTTTCACCATGATAAAAAATAAATTCACGTGATGCAGATAATAGTCGAAAGGACACAATTCGAAAAAAAAAAAAAAAAAAAAAAATCCTTAAAATCTTCTGGTCCACAGGATGTTTGAGACTAAAATTATTAAACTTAAAAGAAAATGTTTAACTTAAACTTAATACAGGCGTGTGTATTTGATAACTAAAATATTTAATAGGCTATTTATGAAGCAAGACGTTATTTTGGTTGCAGATAAAATAAAAATTAAAAAAAGACACGAGTTACACTTTAATGTATGTGGACGCATTAAATTGACTAAATTAAAGGATTAAAACAGTGAGATGGTGCTACACCTGGTGAGTTTAAACTTAAACACCCAAAACAAGTCGTTGCTGTTTGAAAGCATTTTATTATGCTCAAATGTGTCGGTAACCAAAGATGGCAATTAACAAACATAATTTTGTTTAATTTTGCAAAGAAAAATGTAACTAATCAGCTTCAAGGCCGAGGTCATAGCCTTTAAACCTCCTTCTGCACACATCAAAATATGTTTTTAAGCAGCTCGAGTATAAATCTGATTTGGAAACCTTCCATTTTTCTGCTGTTTTGAACACAATCATATTGCCAGAAGCAGCTGTAGCTTACATGGCAACAAAGTGGGAAAAAGAAAAAAAGAAAAACAAGAATTGAGTGGAAATAAAATCACCCTAAAGCGTATCCAGCATGTCCAGCAGCCTCCTGCAGGGTGTAAAGAAAACCACCGCCGTGGCTAAATAATATTAAATGAGATGACTTCAAATGTTTACAAGCAGAGAGTGTTTGAAAGAAATCCACTCCTCTTCCTCCGCCGCTGCAGCCATCCTTTGTTCTCCTGCTGGTTGAAGCGGCACGCGGCCACTAAGTGGCGCTCGCGCTCCACCAAACAACCCTCACTTCCTCCAACTTGACCGCGCTGACGTCACATCAGTCTGGAGCATCAAGGCCACTTCCACGCCGCTATTGGTCTGAAGCTCACATGACATGTCTCCGAGCATCCCACAGTTATGTTCCTGATATTCCTCTTGTGCACCCCCCTCCAAAAGATGTCAGCATCCCACTGTCCTGATTCTCCCGCTGAAAGCCCGCAGATCAGAGCGGCGGGGAAGTGATTCCCTCCCCCCCTCTGCTTGTTCCAATGCAAATATGACATGTCCGAATAACATATCGCCCAGTAACTTCCTGATGGATTCCTTGATGGGAGGATCATCTTCCTTCAGGGCTGAGGGCTACGCCAGCAGCCCAGGAATGTACCTCCACTCTGCTGCGGAGTGCGGATATTCAGTGATGAGAAACATTGGGAAGGTTGGACCAGCTTCTTCCCTCTCCAAACGAGACGAGGCTTCTCCGGGCGGAGTCTCGCTCAGCGGCTTCCAGGACGCGCCTTACCTGTCCGCACAGCTGGCCGCGTGGACCCCGGGCTCCAAAAGCTGCAGGGTCCAGCAACCTGTTGCCCAGTGTTTACAGCCCTGCTCGTTTCCAGCGGGCAGCGTCAAAGAGGAGGCGTTTTGTTGCCTCTATCCAGATGACAGCAATAAGGGGAAGCAGACAACAGAGTCGGCCACCTACATCCGGCTCGGAGACAATAGCTGTCGGCCCGAGCCAACACCCGCCTCCTCCAGCGGCTATTTCCAGGTGTACGGCGGGGATAGGCCTCAGCAGGACGAGCAGCAGATCCCCCCCGGCTTCTCCCTCACCCACCTGGCGTCATCGGGTGATTCAGCAGCAGCGACGACAGCGAGCTGCAGAAAACCTGCGCAGGAAACAGCGAGAGAGGTTTCCACAACAGATGAGAGCAGGAAGGAGAAGGCCAAGAGTGACAGCTGCTCTGATAACTCGGACCGGGAATTAAAAGGTACAACATGCGCCCCCCCCCCCCCCCCACTTCCTCCCTCACCCCCCTCCCTAACACACGTGCACGCATATTCACACGTAGCCTCTACCTGTGTGTGAAAATGCGCCACCAGACATTCACTGCAGCCTCACCAAACTAGTCCACGTGCGCATGAAAGAAGTTTAGTGCACATGCATGTTGTGTCAGCAGTCACACGGGCCTGGGGTCAGATGGTGCTCCTGGTTGTTATGTCGTTCCAGCATGTGAGCACGTGAGATGGGCAGTTATCGTAGAAATATACACTCATGCACACACATACACGCGCGCGCACTCAGGCACAAACCTAATTATGTATCATAGAAAACACCGACTCACTCGCTTGGTTGTTATTTACTCCTCAGAAGGAACCGTTTGGACAACTTTGTTTCAGAGCTGTTCGATTGTTCAAAACATTTGAATGCACATTTTTCAGACTAACATTTAAAGTGTTATTCTCCTGTTTACAGGTTTACTTCGGCGATTTTAACTAGTAGATTTATCTGAAATGGAGGGCCGCATTGTTTTTATGGATTGCAGGGTTTTGTCAGCGTGAAAAGAGCGCGTTTTTATTTATTTTATTTTTTATATGAACTCGAATTACCAGTTTATGAAGGAATTACAAAAACAAACAAATCAACGAAGTGTTTAAAAAAACTGTTCTATTACAAAACAAAACATCACGATCAAAAATGTTATAGTCAAAATGTGCTCTTGTACAATAAATCCCGCAATGAAAAAAGTATATAATTAAATTTTTAATTAATTATTAACTTTCACGATATATAATAATATAAACATGTTGTATATATGCATGCATGTGTATGCATTTATGTACAAACATAAATAATGATTTATGTATGTATACATGTATATATGTATATATATATATATATATATATATATATATATATATATATATATATACATACATACATCATTAGTATGTTTTTACATAAATGCATATGCAGTATATATAGTTCAATTAAATTTTTTCATTTTTAGTGGAAGGAAATAGTCCAAGGCAACGTTTTTGTTTGTGTGTTTGTGTATGTGTGTGTGTATGTGTGTGTGTTACACTCCCACTGAATTAAATGGGTTGCAAGTTATTAAATGCAGGCCACACACTGAGTGTTCACAGTAGGATAATCACTGCAACAAACGTGGCTGCGCGTGTGTGTGTTTGTGTGCGTCTCAATAGCATGGTTCCCCTCCTGTCTTTGTTGGATAATTACAAAAAAAAAGAACTCAACTATTATTTACTCATTTATTAAATGAATTTATTTAACTAGTTTTTGCTTTTTCATTATTTTAATCTATATTGTACTCCTTGACTGAAAGCTTAATTTGTTTTGAGTTTAACTTAACAAAAAAGTCATTTTGAAATCTCCAGCATGCAAAGGTGGTAATAAATTTTTATGGGAGTCTGAGGCCCAACAAAAATACAAGTAGTTCTGCTTCACACCGCAGCTTGATTTGATCTAATTATAGTTGTACATCATGCGGGGAAAGCAACTTTAATCGGCGGAACGCGCGGTGTTGTTCATTTGTTAAACTGGGGAGGAAGCGTCCACAAGCAGGTAGAAGCTGCTGCACTGAATGTGATGAGAGACATGGGCGTGCACTGGTGGAGCTCGTTAAGCTTTACAACATCTCTGTCCAATAAGGATTTGGCCCCGTTTCCTCACTGCTGTTTGTGTGCGTGTTTTGTGCTTCCACAGATGACTCGTCTGCGGAAAAGACAACGGGAAGCTGGTTAAAAGCCAAAAGTGGAAGGAAGAAGCGCTGTCCCTACACGAAGCACCAGACTCTGGAGCTGGAGAAGGAGTTCTTGTTCAACATGTATCTGTCTCGGGAGCGCCGCCTGGAGATCAGCCGGAGTATCAACCTGACCGACAGACAGGTCAAGATCTGGTTCCAAAACAGACGCATGAAGCTCAAGAAGCTGAACAGGGAGAGCCGGGAGAGGGAGCAGAGTGCAGTTTACAACTATTCCTGAAGACATTTCTAGCGACACACACACACACACACTTACACAGAGAGTTGTAGATAGACACGCATGCGTCATTTTGTAATGCATCCTATTATCATTCATAAATTTATCTCTTTATGTGCGCACACTGAGTTTCCCTTTTTGGAGCGGCACTGAAATATTGAAGTGTACTTAATTTGTCTTACATATTACTACCACGTCAAAAAAAGAAAAGAAGAAAAAAAAGCAGTTTTAATTAGATTATAAACAACTCTGGTGGCATGAAAGCAGTCTCTTCTTACTGAACTGTTCTTAATGTTTTGCCACTTATATGCTGCTTCTTCGTTGGTGTCTGTGACATTTTCGTGCTGTGTAATGTGCATGCACAGGATGACATTAAGTCCGAAACAATAAAAAAAAAAAAGGAGGAGAAAAATGGAAAGGTACTAACTTTGTCCTTCCCCTGGCATTATGGTGGTGAAAATGTGAGGGAGGGGAGAGACACTGCGGATGGGAGAAGGAGATCACGGCGGTTTTAATAGAATTGAGAGACCATAACGTTGATTTAAATATTATCCAGGTGACCACAGTAAGTCAAGGTCATAAAATTCTAATGTCAGGTTCGCCCTGGAAAGCGGTGGGGGTGGATTTTATGATCTGCAAATATAATGTGCTGCAGCAGTAAAGATGCGTTTAAAGGTGTGTGTGAGCGTGTGTGTGTGGAGGAGGACTGATCCACACAACAGAGCCCCGCAATGTGCAGGAGGAAGCCGAGGCAGCCGGCTGGGAGCGGCCGCCTCCACCATCAACCCCCCCTCCGGGGATAGAGCAGCTTCATGGGAGCAGCGAGATGAGCAAAGATGGTGGATACAAACCAGAAGGGACAATAATCCCAACATCCAAGCACGTGGATAAGAACTGGCACAGGTCTGCAGGAGACCAGCAAAGGTAGGAGTGATTGTTTTGTGTTTTTTTTGGAGCAGCTGTCATGGTGGCGGGGGGTGGGGAGGTGGGGAGCTCGCTTTGACAGCTCGTGCGGCATGCAGCGTGCATGCCTGCCCCTGTCAATAGTTTATATAAAGTTGTTTGGCATAAATAATCTGACATGAGCATGCTGTTGATTGCTGTTTTCACTTTCTTTCTGAATCCTAAAAGAGATGGTTTTGGATCAGGTGGAGTTGCTGAGCGGATATTTTTGGATTTAAACGAGCAACAATGACCCTGGTGATGTTTTCATGCGTAAACCATCCACGGCGTGCGGGTGTATAAAAGTTGGCTTGGCTGCAGCTGAGTTGTGTTGGTACTCGCCTCTTCCCTCTCTTTCTGCTGGAATATTAATCCGCACTTGTGGATTTTGCTTGCTGTCTTCTTGCAATGGATGTTTCTTCCCTGTTGCGCGAAGCTGAAGCGTGGTTTAGGTAGTTTCATGTTGTTGGGGTTGGCTTCCTGACTCGGCAACAAGAAACTGCCTTGATTACGTCAGTTCGTCTTCATCAAGGGCACAATTTCCGCTGAATTACCCCCCTATACTCCCGGAAATGGCATTGTAAATGAACTGAGCAGCCTGGACGGGGAAAGAAGTTTTCTTTCTTTGCTGTTATTTTTTTCTCTCTTTCTTTTGTGGTGGGCTGTAAAAGCTTGTGAAGCTCTCACAGAGAGAATGGGTTGTAAACACGCAGGGGTAAAGTTTGAGATTGTGATGTGTTGCGTCAGGCTCGGCTCCGGGTTCCTCTCTGCTGCTTGATGATGAAACATGGAAGCTGCATGCAGGTCACCTTTTGAGTCTTCTTCTTATTTGGAGCTTGAATAGAAAAAAAAATCATAACTTTATTGTTGTTTTTGTTTTTCTGGCTGTTTTTTATTTTTAGAAATTCATCCCAATTATTAAAATCTGTGGTTTGCAGTGGACTGCGACCATTGTCACAAAAATGTTGAAAACTCAGAAATTGCAGCAATATTTCAATTAATGTCACTTGTTTTTACTTTAAATACGATGTATTATTATTATTGCTTATGCTATAATTAAATCGTTCTTTGTGTGTTTTTTCTCTTGAATCTTTTGAAGCAGAACGTTTCATTTTAATAATTATTCTCAGCCAATAAAGTATGTTTTATCATTCGCGAGAAGACATGCTGAATTGTTTTTTTTTTTTTTCAACTAGAAGCTTCCATGCGTAGCATTTTATTGAATCTAAGCGCATATTTAGTAATTAGGCTTCATTTATTCCGTGTCACTGAAAGCGCAGCCTTTAATTGAAGCAAAACTTTATTTATGGTTTCTTATGAACAATGTGAAATTACAATGTTGCGCCAGTTTTTTTTTTTTTTTTTTTTTTTGATGATTCGGATCATATAAACTGCGCCTGATTCTTCAGTATAAATTTGCTCTTGATAGTTTGCATCTTAGACTTACGGTTTGTTCTGGCCTCCGTGTCCCCCATTTCCCCCCCTCAGCCTCCACCTTTTGGGATCAGTACCACAGGAAGAGACAGTCTGGAATCCAAAGTCATTTTCATTCAGCTCGCAGTGAATGAGTCTCTCTGCGTCACTCTGGGAATGCATCAAAAGACTTTACAGCACTGGAAACAGCCCGGAGAGCTGCACACAGTCACCCTAAAACCATATAGACATAAAGTCATTTATTCCAAGCAGAGGCTGCAAGAGCCCAAGCTGCCAGACAGACACTAACTTAGGACAGCTGGGTTACTGACACCGGCATGATCAGACATGAGGCAAATATGCTAACGGCTTTTCTGCTTCCCCTTCAGCTATTTCCAAATATTTTAGAGAGATACAGTAGGAAAGGAGTGTGGCTTATCGGACTGTGGGCAAACCAGATGGACAACAAACTTAATCATCATCATATGAGGAATATTAAACAGATTCAGGAGGGCGTTTGTGTTTTACTTATTTTAAACATTTTAAACACAGTTTGTGTTGAGGCTAATTTCAAGCACATTATAT